GAAGTTTTTGTAATACTATTTTTAAAAATATTTCCTAAAATAACACCTATGTAACATTATTTACCTAACTAACATTTTTTATTGTTCACGGTATTTTCGATCAAGTGAGAAATGTATCGCTTAAAAATTCAATGACTTTTTTCATAAATAATATTATTTTTAAAAATATTTCCCAAAATAGTACATTTGCAACATTATTTACCCAATTAGCATTTTTTACTGTTCACGGTATTTTCGATCTAAGTGAGAAATCTATCGTTTGAGTGATGACATTTGCAACTAATGGGTATTGTGAGGTTTATTTTCGTTCAAGCGATGAAATTCTAGCTCGAGCGAGAAGTAACTTTCACTCAAACGAGAATTTCATCACTTGAGCGAAGTGACCTGCAACTAATGGTTGTTCACGGGTTATATTTTCGCTCAAGTGAGAAGTGATTGAAATATGTGGTGACCCAAGTTACATTATATGGCTAACTGCGTTAGACCTTTAGTCTGTGGTCAACTCTCGCTCAAGTGAGAAATCTTTCGCTTGAGCGAGGAAAACCTGTAGTCAATTATGATAGAATATTTTAAATTATGATCGATTAGTTCTCTCTTGCTCAAGCGATAAATTCATCGCTTTAACGAGGAGACCTGAAACCAATGGATATTCTTGAGTTCTATTTTCGCTCAAGCGATGGAATTATCGCTCAAGCGAGAAGTGATTAAAATATGTGGCGACCCAAGTTATATTATGTGGCTAACTGCGTTGGACCTTTAGTCTATGGTCAACTCTCGCTCAAACGAGAAATCCATTGCTTGAGCGAGTATTTATATTTAGGTTGGGATCATTATAATATGCTCAAGTTCAATTCAAATATTTGTTGTCCTATTATAAGATATAAGTTTTGGTATATTACTAATTTTTGGTGCCACAACTATTATATGTTTATATATAATACTTTATAATTTTTTTCTATAAATAAAAAATAATGACTCTAAATTAATCAAGTAAAGAAGAAATTTTATTAATTGAAAAATTCTTAAGTTTCATACATTGTGACATTTATTAACTAACACAATCTAATGATGCGAAGTAGATGCACGTGCAACATTGGGGCATGTTCTTCTGTTATGACCAGGGGTATGATAATATGAACATTTTTTAATCCTACTTTGATTTTTTGTAATATTCATCTCAGTTCTTATACGACTTGATTTTGGTCGACCCTTTGAAGTTCTTTTCATTTCTGGATTTGTACACAAAGTAGGTCCTGTGTATGTTGGCCAATATTCTTCACTTCGTAATAATCCAAATTGTGTTTCGTATTGAAGGTAACTCCCTCCATGGGACATGAGTTCATGGAACCATCATAGTGGACAATAGCAGACATTATACCCATTTTAAGAGTATGGAACAAAAAGAAGACTAAAAGTAAGAAGAAAAAAGAATGCAAAGAACTTCAGAGATTTAGGAGTATGCAATGTGAGAACTTCAAAGAATGAAAGTAGTCTATTTATAATGAAGTCCAATGGTTTGAATCCAAGGCTCCCTCACATGGCTTCTGACGCACACAAAACCCAAGCAAAGTGGGTAGGTCAACATCTCTTTAAATGTGCTTGGATTCTTCTGTTTTTGCCTAACCCAATGCAGGGAATCCAAGATTGGAATCTGACTTGGGTGGGTGACTCAACATTGAATTCCTGACTTGTGTGCATCAAAAAGACATGAGAATCCTGATTTGGGTGACTTAGCATCGGATTTCTGACTTGTGTGCGTTAGAAATTATATTGGGAGGTGTTGTTTTGGGAATTTTTTTTAAAATATTATTAATTATGTAAAAAAGTCGCAAAATAATCGATTAGTTTAGCTTATAATCGATTATAAATAGTTGCAGGTATTCTCGTTCAAGCGATGAATTTCTCGCTTGTGTGAGAGTTGACTACAGACTAAAGGTCCAATGCTGTTAGCCACATAATGTAACTTGGGTCACCATATATTTCAATCACTTCTCGCTCAAGCGAGAAATTCATCGCTTGTGCGAAATAGAACTTGACAATACTCATTAGTTACAGGTCTCCTCGCTCAAGTGATGGATTTCTCGCTTGAGCGAGAGTTGACCACAAACTAAAGGTCCAACGCAATTAGCCACATAATGTAACTTAGGTCACCACATATTTCAATTCCTTCTCCCTCGAGCGAGAATTTCGTGCTTGAGCGAAATAAAACTTGACAATACACATTAGTTACAGGTCTTCTCGCTCAAGTGATGAATTTCTCACTTGAGCAAGAGTTGATCTTGCGCGAAATAATCGATCATAATCTAAAATAATAGATTATTTTAAAACGTAAACAATAAATAGTTTAGATGGATAAATAATGTTGCAGATATGCTATTTTGGGAAATATTTTTTAAAATGATATTATTTATAAAAAAAAGTCATCAATTGTTAAAGAATTTAGTTCAATTTTTTATACTAAAGTTCTTAATTAATTAAGGACTTTAATTTATATATACATATAATCCTTTTTAAGTTTTTTTAATTATTACAAGTTTTATTTTTATTTATAAAATTAATAATTAATTAATATTTAGAGGTCAATAATATTAAATAGTTTTTAAATATATTAAATTATGAAAAAAATAAAATATTAATATGTGAATAAAAAAATATAAATATATTATATAAAAAAATAAAATTTTACATTTTCATTATCAAAATTGATAACTAGATCTTCATTATTCAAATAAGTCAAAGAAATATTTATTTTGTTGAAATGAAGGTGGTGATAATTGTTCATAGACTCTTGATTATTGTATCCCCATAAATTTTTGTCGTACCTTCGTATCTAAAATATTATTCTCATAATTTTGTTTTTAACCTTAATTTCTTTTTCTTCTTCTATTTGTGTACAATTTTTGTACCTCAATTCCTCCTCACCTTCATCCTTTGGTATTTTGTGTTATCACTTCTATTGAAGACCTTTTTTAATAATTAAATGTAAGTAATCATTAATATTATGTATGAATTATACAAACATAACCAAATTACTCAATCTGAAACAATGTTGCAAAAATGAGATTAAATTCCGAAAAAACTAATCCATAAATGCATTCTAGACTGAGTGTTTCAGAATGTGTTTCTAGAAAAGCTAATCCAAAAATACATTCCGGATTGTGTTTTCTGGAATGTGATTTTGGAAAAACTAATTTAGAAATGCATTCCATAACATTTAATCCAGAATGCAATTTCAAATTGGTCTTTCCAAAAATACATTCTGAAACACTCAATCCGAAATGGACTTCCCAAAAACTCATTTCTGGAATTATGAAATGCATTTTCAGAAAAGTCTTTCCAAAAATATATTCCAAATTCGGTATTCTAAAAAAATCTTTCCAAAAACAAATACTAGATTAGGTATTCCGAAAATATATTTTCAAAATGATTAATTCAAAATACATTCTCAAAATAAAAATGAAGATAAGTATAAGGATAGAATGGAGTTTAAATTAATTATATGGGTACATGACCAAATTATGGGTTACAAGAGGATACAACCTTGTTCATATTCAGAATAACTAAAGTAAATTACACCAATTTAAGAAACAAGCCCAATAATACAAGAGAGGAGGAAAGAGAATAAAAGAAAGCAAGTTATAAATAAGAGTGAGAAAAATAAAGAAAAAGTAGAAAAAATAATTATATTATATTAAACAATTTATTTTTTTAATATTGAATGTTGTATATAAATAATAAATAAGTATGATTAAATAATAAATTGACACACATTTTAATTAAATAATTTTTTTCTTTTAAAATAAACTCATAAGATTTATAATTCACTCGTCTTTTTTTTTTTCCAGATAAATATATTCTGGGCAATAAACTAGAATCAAAGTTGAATACAAATTTCTTAAGTAAAAAACTGAATTCAAACACTGAGAACATATTTTAAAATATAAATAAAATAAAAAAATAGTTTACGAAATAAACTTTAAAAATTTAAAACAATTTCTACGGCTATCAAAATTTAGATTTTAAAATTGATACGAAGACAAATAATCCATATATATATATATATATATATATATATATATATATATATATATATATATATATATATATATATATATATTAAAATAAGTCAAATTAATTTTAATTTAAAATTGAATTTATAACTTTTTTTAATCTTAATTTATTATCAGAAAGAAAAGATTTATTTAACTTAAAAATAAGATTTAATAAGTTTTATTTTTATCATTTATTTTTTTTATAATTTAATAAATAAAATGAAATACTATTTCAAATCATTAAAAAAGAAAATTATAAAAATAAATAATAAATTTCTATTTTATTTATATATAAAAAATAAAAATATTTATTTTAAAAATAAAAATTAAAAATAAATCCCATGCTCTTTTCTTCCTTCCCTCTCGGTAAATAATCTAATTTTTAAACGTTAAAATAATGTGTAACATTTAAATTAAAAGACTTACAAAATTTAAATTTAATGTAATGATCCAATAAAAAAAATCAAATCTTTAAAATAAATAACTCAGCTATCATATCAGTGGAGACATTATCTATCTGCCTTGATAAATTAAGAATCAGAAGTTATGCTAATTAATGCTATAAAATGAAAAACGAATGATCCCAATAAACTTACAACATAAACTCCCACAATTACAATCGATTGTAACACCCCAAATGATTAATTTATTTGAAGATTCAATCTTCATTGCAAGAAAGTGTATCATTTTCGCTATCTGCAATGTTGTAGAGTGGAAATATGAATCTCTGTTCAAGGACACCCAAGAATTAGTCCAGTTTGAGCAGTCAATAAATAAGTATTTAAGTAAATTGATTTTGGCATGAACATTATTGTACACTTTTAGTTGATTATGAAAGACAAATCAAATAGTTCGAACACAACAGAAACAGTCACTTTCACTGCACAAAACTGCACAAAATGATGTTCTGGTATGAAGAAGAAAATGTACCTTAATTTATGTTTCAGATTAGGAGTGGTTTGGATGAAATCTTGGTCCATGGACGTTGTAGCGAATAGATACACTGGTAATATGCTTGATAACCCCATAATGCCGTCCATCTTTAGCAGGATCAATGCTTTCTTCCAGTTCAGTTGGCATATCTACGAAGCCTAGAAATTGAAGGTTTTTCAAGTGATCGAGGCCACAGGGTAACACCTTCATTTGGGGGTTATCTCTAAAGCTGAGGTGTTCAAGACCAAGCAAAGCTCCTTTGTCTATGGACATAGAACTTAATCTGCTTAGTCGAGTAAGATCAAGTTCCTTCAACTTTGGAAATCCGTCTTTTTTGAAATGCAAACTTTCACCTTCATACGCATTATCCCAGATGCTGAGCAGCATCAGATTTGGCAAGACTTTAAGTGAGTCCAGTGGATCTTCTTTCAAGTTGGACAAACCGAGCCTTAACTTCACAAGATACGCAAGTTTTGGAATCCAGTCGGGTAACTTTGTCACTCGAGCATTCAACTTCAACACTTGAAGTTGGGGGGGATCTGATTTGAAGTTCAAGTCAATGATTTCATCTTCAGCGACGGCACTGACATTGAGAGATTCGAGGTGGTTCATCCCTCCTATTGCAGCTGATAGGGCAGTTGCATATTCTCTTCTCACGCACCTGATTCCCAACTTCCTTAACTGTTTCAACATTTTGAGCTCTTCCACAAGATCTAATCCTCCATGATAAGCCTCCAAAAAGTAAAGCTTTTGTAAGGATTTCAAGCATCTGATACCCTTATGCATTTTCGCCCCTGTTGTGGACTCTAACACAGAGTACTTCCCTTCAATTTTTCTGTAGTAGACTGAGAGAAGTCGCAGCTTCAGGAGTTGGGTTATCTCTCTTGGTAGCTCACGCACCTTAGTTTGCCTTAGGTCCAAGGTTTCTAGGTTCAGCAACTTACCTATGGATTTGGGAAGGACCTCTACTTGTGTATGACTCAAGTTTAAGTACCTGAGGAGAAAAAGCTTGCCCAAATTATCAGGAACATGGTTCAACAAAGTACCTTGGAAATCAAGTACTTTCAAAAGCTTGAACTTGGTGGATAATTTAGGCACAAAATATGCAGGCAATTCACTTTTGCTGAAAATAAATATTGCACGAACGCCGAAGAGTCTAGTCCTGCTTAACACAATGTCGGAAAAATTAGCCACAGAAAAGCGTCTAGTTATTCCAACCGTTTCTAGTTCGTCATCTTCATGCATTACGTGGCAAAAATTTAACTCTTTCATTCTTCTAATGATGACTTTTCTTAATAAATCATGGACTTGGCAGCTTTTAACCTTGCCATTACGGCCAACTTTAGAGACTTTAACCAAACTTCTGTGTGCTAAATCTCTCAAGCTCCTTTCAGCAACCTCCTCCACAGGTCTTTTCCCCTCATTCTGAATGAATCCTTCAGCTATCCATTGCCTGGTCAATCTCGTATATTTGATGGAGTAGTGCTCCGGATACATGCCAAAATACAGCATGCATGATTTCAAATTGGGTGGAAGATCATCATAACTAAGAGACAAAATCCTTGTTAAAGCATTTAAATATGGTGTGCGCTCTATCTCCATGGTCAGATCCTCACATACCTTTCTCCATTCGATCATCTCCTTTGCTTTCGTCGTCAAAAGACCACCAATGGCAACAATTGCTAGCGGCAGGCCTCCACATTTTTGAACAATTTCTTCTGACATCTCCTTGAGCTCAGGTGGACATTGGTGACTTGGCTCAAACTTAAATGCCTTCTTGCAGAAGAGTTCCAATGCTTTCTTTAGAGGCAAATGTTGTAGTTCATGAACACGACCAAGAAATGATTTATTGAAACACTCAGCAACGTGCATCGTTCTAGTGGTGATTACGATTCTACTGCCGTTGTTGTTATCAGGAAGGGCATGCTTAATCTCATCGGAAAAATCTTGTTTCCAGACATCATCAAACAATAACAAGTACATGTACTTGTTCGACTCAAGGAATTTCCTCACCTGTGTAACTAACGAGTTATCATCCTTCTCGTGCAGCCCTTGGGGAAGAGGGTCATTGTAATCCTCGCAAAACTTCTTTACCATGTTTACCAGTAGCTCCTTCACAGTGTACGACTGAGAAACTGTGAGAAAACAAGTACATTTAAAGTGTTCTTGCACATGTGGATTATCAAAAACTTGTTTGGCAAGAGTTGTTTTTCCGAGTCCACCCATGCCTACCACCGAAATCGCAGAAAGTTGTTGGGTTCCTTGTGTTAAGAAGTCAATCAACTCATCTCTTGGGGATTCGAATCCCACAACCCCAGTTTCTTCCATGAAATGGGCATCCATTCGTGGATCTGCTTCTGCTTCTCTACTACTGTTGCTTGAAGATTCAAAATCATACCTTGTACTTCTTTCCTTTATTTCTTGAACCGATGACTTGATATTTCGGATCTCAGATGCAATTCGACGACGTGACAACAGAGTTTTTGTTTGTTGAGCAATCTTCGGGAGTGAGTCTATGCGATTATACCGCGCCACATACATGATGTACTTATCAATGACATCTTCTATACAAAAAGAGACTTCTCTCACCTGCTTCACCCATGTTTTTATTCTATAGTTGGTGTCCCCTTCATATCCAGCTTTTCTATCTGCATCCTTTAGGAAAGCGTAAATGCTCTCTAGTTCATGTTGGATGTTGGGAAAATCATTTCCGAGGCCTTTCAACAGACTTATTTCTTCTGATCCAAGTAGGTACAGCTGTTGTAAGACAAACGACAGTGCAGCTTCTGCCATTTCATCTCATCTCATCTCGTTGTCTGTGCTATCTATCTTCCAATTCTAGCTACCATTTTTCCCCCACTTTCTTCAATCATTTATTTTAAAATACAATGATTACACTCTGCGTCCAATCCACCTACCCATTTTTAAGTACTCAAGATACTTCCTCACCGGACTAATCGTCGACCCTCTACATACTTACCAGGGGTTATCACTAAGCTCATTTTCATCTAAATACTAACATAATAATATAACTTCACCTTCAACCAAAATCCTCAAAGATAAGAGATTTTACATTTCATTTCTACTTTCACACCTTGACGTTACTTTAGAGTTTACACCAACCTATTTGATATAACTGTTGTAAATACAACTGTATGCCCATAATATTTAAGAGTCTCGGTCTTTGAAATATTCCTGCCTGGCTGGATGGATAACCACGATCGATGATTTCAATAATCATAATTTAGTTTTCATTATTCAAACATCCAAAACTATATTAAATTTTTCAGCTGATTGGATAAGAACTTCTTTAAAGGAAATTGATTTTATATTTAATTATTTAAAATAAAAAAAAATTATTTAAAATAAAAAAATTGTTTGGATAAATAATTTTAATTATATTTTAAACCATTCAATAATATATGTATAATAAAATATTTAATTTTGTTTTTGAATAGTTTTTATTAAAAACTTTTTTTAAAATACTGTAAGAAAAATATATAATACATGAAAAAAATTAGCAGTGTGAAGATAACACGTAGTATAATCTTGGCCGGTCGCTTGATGCGTGAGAGAATAATATTAGTGATGATCGAAGCGTGGAAAATTTGAAATTTAGACCAAGACTTTTGTTATGAGTGTCGTGCATACAGCTGTATTGGCAGAGATGGGTCAGATAATTATGATAATCATTATCAAGTGGGGTTGGTGTAAATAATGTAAAATATAATGATGATGTTCTCAAAACTCCAACTTCATCTGCAGGCATTAAAATAAAAATAAAAAAACTAGACTCTGAAACAAAAGTTGATTAAGCGGTATGAGCAGCAACACAATAGAAAAAACTTTTTCTTTTAACAGTGTGGTTGTTCAAAAAAACAAAAAAGTGGTGTGAGCAAGAATTGTAGATCGAAATTGCAAGAGGAGATGAAGTGAAACGAAATGGCAGAAACTGCAGTGACGTTTGCTTTACAGAAGCTGTTCCGATTTCTTGAAGAGGAAAGAAGATGGCTGAAAGGCATTGGAGATGATTTATCAGACATCAAACACGAATTAGAGGTCATCAAAGTCTTCATAAAGGATGCGGATAGAAAAGCTGGAGACGAAAGAGGAGAAACCAACGAAGGAATAAAAACATGGGTGAAGCAGGTGAGAGATCTATGTTTTTCTACAGAAGATGTTATCGACGAGTACATCATGGATGTTGCACCGTACGGGGCCAAACATCAACCACCAGGCATGATGTCAGTTCGTAAGGTTCTTCACCAAATCAAAGCCTTGAAGACTCGTTATCGGATAGCATCCGAGATTCAACATATCAAGTCAGCAGTTCGAGGAATCGCGGAAAGAAGTCAGAGGTACGCGTTCCATTCCCAACCTGAAGTTGAGTCATCGAGCTTCTCTAGACGGGCAAAAAATGTTCATAGGATTGCTTCCCATTTCGTCGAAGAATCTGACATCGTGGGATTCGAATCCCAAAGGGATGAATTGATTGATTGCTTGCTAAAAGAAAACCACGAACTCATGGTCATTTCAGTGGTAGGCATGGGAGGAATGGGAAAAACCACTCTTGCTAAACATGCTTTTGACAATCAAAATGTGAAAAGACACTTTGATTGTCGTTCCTTTATCACAGTATCTCAATCATACAATGTGAGGCAGCTGTTGATAGATATCATACAAAATTTTTCCAAGGACGCCAATGAGCCTATTCCGAAAGGGCTGCGTAAGATGGATGATAACACATTAGTAACAGAAGTGAGGCAATACCTTCAGACAAAGAGGTATTTGGTATTGTTTGATGATGTCTGGACAGAAAACTTTTCCAATGAGATTGAGCATGTCTTGCCTAATAACAACAATGGAAGTAGAATCATAGTCACCTCTAGAATCATGCGCGTTGCCAAACAGTTTAAGCAGTCATGTCTTTTTCATGTTGTTCACTTGCTACAACCATTATCTCAGGAAAAGGCGTGGGAACTGTTCTGCAAGAAGGCATTTAGATTGGGGACTACTGAGCAATGTCCACCTGAGCTTGAGGATGTGTCAAAGGAAATTATTCTAAAATGTGGAGGGCTACCACTAGCAATTGTCACCGTTGGAGGTCTTCTGTCAACAAAAGAAAAAACCTTGTTTGAATGGAGGAACGTAAGTAAAAATCTGAGAATGGAGTTAGAGCTCAATGAACGTTTTACTAATTTAGTAGGGATTTTATCTCTTAGTTATGATGATCTTCCTCTCAATTTGAAATCATGCATGCTGTATTTTACTATGTATCCGGAGGACTACTCCATCAAATCTAAGAGACTGACTAGACCATGGATTGCTGAAGGATTTATTGAAAATGACAAGAGAGGATCAATGGAGGATGTTGCTGAAGAGTACCTGAAAGAATTAATAAATAGAAGTTTAGTTCAGGTCTCCAGGGTTGGCTTCGGCGGTAAAGTTAAAAGTTGTCATGTCCATGGTATATTACGTGAGTTTCTCATTAAAAAAGCAAGAGATTTAAGTTTTTGCCACATAATGCTTGAAGATGATGAACTAGACTTAGTTGGAATAACTAGACGCTTATCTTTAGCTACTTGTTCCGACACTGTGTTCCGGACTAGTAACTCTGGCATCCGCGCTATTTTCGTTCTTAACGAAAGGGAATACCCTAAAGATTATGTGGACAGATTATTTGCCAAGTTTAAGTTTTTGAGAGTACTTGATTTTCAAGGTACTTTGTTGAATTATGTTCCTGCTAATTTGGGTACTCTTTTTCACCTGAGGTACTTAAACATGAGTCATACAAAAGTAAAGGTCCTTCCTAGATCCATAGGTAAGTTGGTGAACTTAGAAACCTTGGATCTAAGACAAACTAAGGTGCGTGAGCTACCAAGAGAGATAACCCAACTAACAAAGCTGCGACTTCTTTCAGTCTACTACAGAAAAATTGAAGGAAAGTACTCTGTGTTAGAGTTCACAACGGGGGTGGAAATGCATAAAGGTATTGGACGTTTGAAATCCTTACAAAAGCTGTACTTTTTGGAGGCTGATCATGGAGGATTGGGTCTTGTGGAAGAGATCCAAATGTTGAAACAGTTAAGGAAGTTGGGAATCAGGTGCGTGAGGAGAGAATATGCAACTGCCCTGTCGACTGCGATAGGAGAGATGAATCACCTTGAATCTCTCAGTGTTAACGCCATAGCTGAAGACGAAATCATTGACTTGAACTTTGAATCAGCTCCACCCCAACTTCAAGTGTTGAACTTGAATGCTCGAGTTACAAAGTTGCCTGACTGGATTCCAAAACTTGTATATCTTGTTAAGTTAAGGCTTGGTTTGTCCTACTTGAAAGAAGATCCACTAGACTCACTTAAAGTCTTGCCAAATCTGATGCGGCTCAGCATATGGGATAATGCGTATGCAGGTGAAAGTTTGCATTTTCGAAAAGAGGGATTTCCAAAGTTGAAGGAACTTGATCTCACTCGACTAAGCAGATTAAGTTCTATGTCTATAGACGAAGGAGCTTTGCTTGGTCTTGAACACCTCAGCTTAAAAGATAACCCCCAAATGAAGGTGTTACCCCGTGGCCTCCAACACTTGAAAAACCTTCGATTTCTTGGATTTGCTGATATGCCAAATGAATTAGTAGAAAGCACTGATCCAGCGAAAGGTGGACAAGATTATTGGGTTATCATGCATATTCCCCATGTCCTCATTGGTCAGATCGAGGGTCCAAGTTTCCATGACGATGAACTGCGTCCTATTCCCACGTTAGCCAGTGTCTGAAATATGAAGGTATTTCTTCCTCATGTCAAGTCATATATTAATGTTGTTCTTATAAATTTTTGAAATTTAATAATGCCATTCTCAGCATATATGTTTTCTTTTTCTATATTTTTGGATCATTCATTTCATACATTAACCTTCCCTTAACATGTATTCTGTCATATTTCAAACAAAACCCTGCTTTATGCATCCATGACAAGCTACTTCAAAAATCAAGAATATATTTCTAATTTGTTGATAGGAAAATTGTAATATTTTAAGCTGACTATTTTTTTTGGGTTAAATTTTTAAAATTGATTCTGTACATTCTAAATTTATTTTGAGATTTTTAATTGATTTGATACTTGTTCAACTGATGCAAGTATTGATCTCTAGTACAAGTAGCACTTCATCGGTAGTTTTCCTTAGTTTTAAGGTAATTTTGTTATAGCTTCCTATCAAATCTATTGTGTTTCTGTTAAATTCAAATATTTATTTTCATCATCCCGCAATAGTCTTAATGTCTATTACTTGATAATTTGATTATGATCTTTCATGATATAAAAACTCCAAAAATGTTTGTGTAGAGTTAAAATCAATTTGCTCATCATATACTGCTCAAGCTTGCTAATTTTCGTGTCTTTGTGGACAGAGATTCGAGTTTTCGAAATCGCAGGTCGCAAAAATGATGCACTTTGTCTGTTCATTCCTTTCATGAAGCTTGTATGTTGGAATAAATTATTCATATTTCCTTGAACTTACATTACATATCCTGCTGCAGTCAAGGAATGTATGAACTCCATTTAGGGATGTAACTAGGACTTATGTACAATTCTATTTGTGGTGTTTATAATTGATTGTGTGAGCTTTTATTACTTCGCTTTTCTTTCCTATATCCAAGACTGATGACTATTCACTGTTATGAATTGTAGATCTTTTTGGCATTGAACTGATAATGATAAACAGTCACGAAAACAATAGATAAAAGAAAATCTAAATGGAATGTCTTATTCATGCTTGAGGCAGATCATTAAGCAATATTGATATTTTAATTCTAAAGTCTAGCTACTGCAATATATAGTTTCCCTAGTTTAAGGACCCACTTGACAATGGGAATCGTGGCTCAAATCATCTTTTCGACAATAAAAGTGCTCCGCAGTTCCTGATATAATATCGTTCACCATCAGCTTCGCACATTACAATATTCTAGTTACAACTAGATTCCAAGGCATGATCATAATTTTGAGTGAAAAAAGTTCAACTCAAGACTCAACACAGGATCCAGCTCAACTATTCTTGTCATTTATCTGTATAAAAAACCTACCAATCCAGTTCTCTTTCGCATTTTGGGTTAGTATTTGTTAATTGTGTTGTGAGTGAAGTTTTTGAAGTAGAATTGCAAGTGTCAATCTACTGCAGAGTGTACACACGAATACGGGATAGAAAGATGAATAATGAGAAGTAAAACTGTGGAATCATCCGATATGTGTTTTCTACCTTCAATTTATTTTATTAAATGATAAATTTACCTCGAATATGAAATTTAATAATTTTCAACGGTGGGATAGGAAACTGCACACGAATCATTCATTTTTTTTAATCTGTATTATATGTCGAATGTTTGAGTTACATTTATCGTAAACACAAATTCATAAATGGACTATGAAAGTCTTCAGGAAAAATAAACTTCAATGGAAAAAAGCATGGTCTACCAAAATCACCGACTTCATGAAATAAGTTATTAAACAAATTATCATAGAAAATTGGAAGAAATCCCACAACTGCACACGTTCCTCTTGGTTGACTTTGGAGATTAAAGTTTCTTGGAACCATTCACAAATAGTGTATGTACCCAGTGGAAGAAAAAGGCGAAAAGCACCATATTTCTGAAATGCTTTTTCTGGATACATGAGAACAGCATAATTGCAAGGTGAGAGTGAAATGGCAGAAGCTGCAGTATCTTTTGCCTTGGGAGAAGTGTTCCGAATTCTAAAGGAAGAAACAAACCTGCTGAGCGGCATTCACAGAGATTTTTCATACGTCAGAGATGAACTAGAAAGCATTCAAGCCTTCCACAGTCATATTAAAACTAACTCCATTCTCATTTTACACTTTTTTAGACACTGATTCTGTCATGTCTATTATGTGTGGTGGTGTGTGTATTTTAGAATAAATATACAATTTTCTGTATCATAGATGTGTAGTTTGTATTGTTCTGGTTTCGATTGGCCTCAAAAGATGAAGCTCTTAGCAAGATGAATTGGGTAAACATATACATAAATTGATATCTTCCATAATCAACTTATAAATTGGCAACCAAAAACAACTAATATCTACATAATTTTCTTTTTCTTAAGCCATTGTATTTAAACAAGGAATAATTAAGACTTCATGTTATTTTTCCTCTTTCATGGTGTCTAATGCAGATTGTTGGAACTGCTCTTTAAAGCTTGTATTGAAGACTTCTTCATTTGAATGGACATATTCAAGTTCATAAGAATGAGAGACGTAATTTCTTTACAATTATGGGATTTGTTTGTGATGATGGAACCTACTTCTGGTTTATAACTATTTTGCCTGTATTCATTTGAACGTGATTATTTTTCTTTTTGGTTTGTTTAAGGTTGAGGAATTAAAATAAGATCATCTATAAGCATCTTACCAGAATATTATAAATAAAAAATTATATTTATTTTAATATTAGTAATTATTTTATTAATATAATATTATATATAACCAAGTAATTAAATATAATATAATACATAATATACTTTTAAAAAAATGATTAAATAAATATTTTATTAGATAAAACAAATTTAATAAATACCAAAACTCCTATTCAAACGTGACAGATTTTCTAAAATGTTGACTATCATCAACCATTATGTATTACTATTATTATCGTGTCGTTATTATCATCATTCTTAATTACTATCAATTACTTCTATTATACGCAACGAACATTAAATAAGATTAATTGTTATCTTAATTTCATTAACTATATCTTTTTGGTATTTCTATCTTATCATATCATGCAAGTAATATTAAACATTGAATGAAGTTCATAATTATTAGACAATAAAGAATTTTATTTTATTTTAGGCTCTTGAACTTCTACAGAACAATAGCATGACATTAAAATACAAAATGTTATCTTAAAACATTCAACATTTTTTTTTTACCTGTAACACAAAAAGCACAATCTCGAACCCAGTTCCCAAGTTCATAAATTTAGCAGTTTCTTTCAAATATCAATATATAAACTATAAAGCATATAAAATTATATTGAATATGTCTTTAGGCTAAACAATTGATAAACTACTAACTAACCAAGTACATTTTATTCTGAAAATACGAGGATACAGGAACAAACTTCCTTCAGAAGTAAAAAAGTTGATGACATGAGAAAAGCAAGAGATCCATATCCAGAGAAGGGGAAGGAAAACAAGAGGCTCCAAAGCAACAATAGACCCAAAGTGCTTAAAACACCAAAAAAATGTGTCGTTGTCAAGGCCTGAAGCCAGCACTAGGGCAATGTCTAAAAACAGGGAGGAAAAAAACTTGAGCTGAGAAAACTCAGGTTAGATTCATCCTCCCAAAGACCACAATGAGCCAGAGGAGAGCTTCCCCATCATCTTGGAAAAAGGAGTGTGGTGAAACTAAAAAGGAAAGGTCCAGATATTTTAGTGTCATTGACTTGAGTTACAACACCAACCTTATCTACATAGTATGTTTGTGCTTCTTTTCTTTCACTGCTCCCTTCTCACGAATAATATCTGTGAACTGGGATGACGCTGAGGAAGATTATTCTTCAAGGTTGGGTTTTTGTCATCATCTGAGCCTGAGCTAAGCTGTATCTGTATTCAAAACTTACATACATCAGTTACAGAACAATTGAACATTTCATATATTAAGTACAAACCATGCGCTATATCCTCATCACAAAAAATTTAATGTTGTAACATCCATGGAATCATAACTCAAAGAAAATACTTGTAATCGTTGGAGATCTTGCATCACTCTTTTAACTCAGCCAATTAAAATCTATTCACTTTGCTACACGTGCTACCAATGCTAACGATTTACCTTGGAACACCACCACAGTCAACTTGCTTTAGAGTTACAAGTTAAAGGATAAATCAAACAAACTTCTTACAAGTTACAAACTTGCACATCATAATAAGTGTACAATCAACACTTTGCATTCATTCAGTTACTTCCATTGTCCATTTCCTCACTCTTTCCATTTATGTGTTTCCTTGGCTGATATTCAAGTACTCGATAATTGACTTTAAGCAATTTTACGATTCAGAATTGTGTTCACGTCTTTCTCTCATAGCATAGGTAGCAAGAGCAAAAGTACTGGTTCACGGGACAAACCTCATATTTTTTGAGCAATGATGCCAACACTGAGGCAACAAGTTGGATGATAAATTTCTGTCCAATGCAAGCACGTGCACCGGATCCAAAAGGAAGGAATGCTGCATTTTCATTTGGATCATTTAGTACAAATGAACTGAATCCTGTAACAGAAAGGTCTTCGGCAGAACCTGAGAGAGTTCAAGATCAAAATATTAGTAATAGATGAGTATAGAGAACATATAAAAAAGGTTCTGAGTATGAAGGGCCACATTAGTCAATTCTCATTCCCAATTTTTTCCCCTTGTTTTATCTATGATTCTTGATTACTGATACGCAGGACTGTTTTTGAATTATCGAGGCTCATCATACCTGATCCCTTTGTAACAGTTGAGAGAAATCGGTAAGGATTAAAATGACTTGCATCACTCCCCCAACTGAAGTCGTCCTTCTGTAGCAATTCAACAGGTACAACCAATACAGCTCCAGCAGGTATGGTTACTCCAGTTGCAAAGCTCAAGTCTGACATAAGGAGGAACATCAATGAATACAAATATCAGTAGGAGTACATATAGAATCCTAAAATGTATTTTAAGCCATAAAGAATAACTAAAAAATAATTATTCCAAATCATGCACATACATCATATTTGTATTGCATAAATTACCACAACCTTCCTTTCAAACTAGCCCTATTTGATGAATTTATTGGGACTAGAATATGCAAACCTGTATTTTTAAATTGTTAGAAATATCTGATAATTAGGATTTGTTCTTCTTTTATATTATATGATTTGTTTATTTATTTAATTAGGATATTTACAACTATAGGGATATCATATCATGTATATAGAAATCAAAATCTCCTATAATTTATCGAGTTGTGGTGTAGTTCAAGCAAACAGTTTTCAGCATCTCTAGCATCTATTGTTCTCTCTTTCAACAGAAATCATGAATGAAACTACCACTGTGACTGATCATGATTATGTGGAGATGGATACTAGCTCCTAACTGTTATCACACTTTTAATGCTAAACCAAGCAATTACACAAATTATTGAAGTGCTCACAACTAAACAAGATAACTTGAAACTATGCTTTAAACAAATTATTGCATACAATGCTCAGTAAAGTAATATCTCACCATGTTTCAAAGAACACCTCTGCAGCATGGGACCAGTGGGTAGAAGGCGTGCAGATTCATAAATTGTCGCCAATAACAAAGGCATCCTATAAACATCTTCATGCTCATATTTCGATGGGTTTCTTCCTACCATGATAATCTCCGAATAAACCTGCAAAAGCATGCGAAATAAGTAGCAGGTGGGCTTGCAAACATCAAGAACTGCATTCAGTCAAAAAAAAAAAAAGAAACATAAAATAGAATTTGATAGTGAAAATCATGCAGTAAACACACCTTTATGCGTATAAATGGAATCGTATTCCAACAGAAATATAGTTTTTCTTCAAAAAAAATACTAGAATAACAGTTTGTTATTGTGCTGACAACAATCTAATTAAGAAATTTCATCTAATTTTTGCCATGGCAAGAGCAGATGCATATAGCAGACAGAGCCACTGGCAAAGGTTAAATAAGAAGTACAGAGCAATTACATTTTCCGAACAAAAAATGCTCATTCTAAAGGATAAAAAATTCAAATTATTTAAACAAATTCACCTTAACTAGCCCTCCTCTTATTAAGCATATTGTAAAACCAACGTGCACCCCTGGTTTTAACTTTGTACATAAATAAATTCACTAAATCTAGATCATGATTAAAGAATACTCATAATAGGAATTAGACTTAGTTTGAGCATTGGAGAACAAACTAAGAGAAAAGGATTCACAGAAAAGTGCAATTACAAATTGGCTACAGTAGAGACAGAATGGAACCTTATCCTGTATTTCCATATGCATGACAAGCCTAGTCAATACATTGGTGATTAAAGCAGATGTAGATTGGCATCCATGAAATATCATGCGCATGACGTTCCCACAAGGTTCTTCTTTACCATCTTGATAATCCTTAAGATCACGAAAGAAATAGTAATCTTGGAACTCACCATCAGAGCAGCATTGTGAACCACCTTTGTTGGAACTTTCATTATGTACATCTTGGTCGGTATAGCCAAATAGTTTGCAGCCTTTTCTGCAATGTTGAAGGATGTCTTCAGTTAAGCATTTCAACTTTGTGCATAAGCTTTGGTACCTCCAAAATCCACGTCTCCAGAAAGGAGTAACGTTATACGAGGCCCAAAAGCAAGCATCTTTAGCGATTGTCATAAACAGTTCCTCATACATTGCAGCCTTCGACGAGGCCAAGAAGCCATCTCCAAAGAACGTGGCTCCCATTATAGTGAAAGCCATATGCTGAGAAACCAACCTGGAATCAATACCTCCTTTCTTTCTGATTTTTTCTATTTTATCAGAAATAAAATCCGCAACCTTCACAGGAATCATATCATCATTCTTCAGCAGTCTTTCATTTAATTCTGTAGCTAATAATTCCCTTCTCTTTTGCACCTAAGGACAATTTAAATTAAATTCCAGGTTGCTAGTGTCAGAATGAGAACATCGTACAAAAAAAAGTCAGGATCAGTAATTTCTGCGGACAACATTTAAAACGATGCATAATGAAAATATACAAACAAAAGAATAGTTTGATAAGAACTAAGAAGGTCTCAAAACTGAATGAACAAATCATATAATTCAATCTCAAATACAGTCAGAAACAGCAAAGTTCAAATGTCACCTTTTCAAAGGAAGGGGCAAAGAGGCTCGATTGCCCAAAGGCTAGATGAAACACTTTTCCCGTAAAAGGCAACTTATCCTCGGCTTTTGTGAGCATCTCTTGGATTAACGCCGGATCCCTTACGGACACCAAAAGCTGAGTAGGACCTAACCACAGCTTAACAATTGGTCCATACTTTTGATGGGATTCTGACAACACATCTGAAAATCAAAATGATTAGTACATAACTTGCTTAAAAATGTGCATCCATCCATAATAGCAATCATTACTCAGAGCAAACAATAAATCACTACACGTGCAAAACTGCAAAAGAACATGAACGTGACATTACTACTCAAAACCCCTTTAATATACATTCTAGTGTAATACCCCCAGTGTAAAGAAAGAAAGAAAAAAACTGATTATTTCTGATAGTAACCACAAAATTAACTAATCCACGGGACAAGAAGAGAGAAGAAGAAAAAAACAGAATTTACCATTAAAAACCCATATAACAAGACCCCGTATTATATTACCCAATAACTGACAAAATCCAGTTTAATAGACTAAACCCATAACCAACTTCAGTAGAACCAACAAAACAACTGTCCTTTCTAATAATAATCACAAATTCAACTAACCCACATATCACGAGTAAAAGTCAAGACATATCACTGACCAGGATTTAAAAAAAAAAAAAAAACAATTCGCCTATGATTTCATAGCCAGTCCCAAGTTTCAGTAAAGAAAAAGGGTTATGTTAGATTCCAGACAAAAAAGACCCTTTGAATAAATTTCTGCCCAAGCACTCTTGAAAAAATATCTTGATTGAGATAAAGTTAAAAATCAGATTTTAGAGAAGTGAATAGGAAAAAACTCTAAATATTAGTTTACGGATCATCCTCCACAGAATAAAAAAAATTATGACAAAGAACCCACCAGTAAAGGTGAAATTAGGCCGGGAAAAGAGCTTGCAGTGGCCAGAGAAAGAGGATGAGGGAGGCCCAGGAATGGTCCTAGCTCTGCGCCACAACCCAAAGAGGCTGAGCAATCTTCTGAGCAAAAGGGTGGTGACAACAACAAGAGATAGCCATAAAAAGGCGTTGAGTTCTCGCGTGGCGAAGTCCCTGAGAAGTTCAGAGGAGTGGATGAAGTGAAGAAGACCCAACAGAGAGAAGCTGTTGGTGTCCATCATTTTCTCAATGGGAGAAAGAAAGAGAAGAGAAGGAAGAATTGTGGTTCGTGAGGTTTTGTTATGAACTTTGAACTTTGAACGTTGAACGTTGAATGTGAATGTTTTAAGACTGAGTTTAAGCTTATTTCAATTGTACATGAGTGTTATACATAAATAAATATATATATATATATATATATATATATATATATATATATATATATATATATATATATATATAAACAATAATATATTATTTTTATTAAAATCTTTAATTTTATTACTTTTTTGAATTATATAATATAATAAGGGTAATATGTTTTTTCATAAAACTTCTACTTTACCTGGAAAAGGTTAAATTCTCGAACTTTAAGATATCTTTTTATGGAAAAATTAATTAAAAATCATTTTCAGAAAATTAAATTTTTATTAATTTGGGATGCAATTTGAAGGGACACGTGGGGTGAAGACAGTCTTCTTGATTTACGGTTGCGTAATGCGATGGCCGCCACACCCAGGATAAGGTGTTTTTTTTTTTTTTAGTTATTATATAAATTATTAAATATTATTACTTATTAAACCAATTAAAATTGAATTCATCAGCTTAAAAATACTAAAAATAAAATTAAAATTAAAAAATACAAATAATATAATTATTTTTTTTAAAATAATTACTACTATTCAATTAAATTATTTCTAAAATATAAGATAAACTGTATATTTCATAAAATAATAGATTAAGTAAACTTAAAAAAAATATCTCTAATATAATTTAAATACAAATAATATATCGTACATAAAATTTATTATTTAATAAAATATTTGTGATTTTTATATCACTTAAAATTATTAAATATACAATTTAATTTTTATGTTAAGATTAAGATTTAGGAAATTATTTCTCAGACAATTTATTTATAAAAACAATTACTAATTTTATAATAATAAAAATGGTAAAATAAATAATTTAATAGAATTCAAAAATTATATTAAAAAAATAAAAACAAATCAAAATCTTATTTTTATCCCTATCACATAAATACATATCAAAAGTGCTAAAAATTGTTAAACATTAACAAAATAAATATTACTTATCCATTTTTAAATTATGGGTGATAAAAATGGATGATTTTCGTGTTGACTAAAATATTTAATTAAAGAATCGTTATGTCACAACAATGTCCCCAATTAGCAACAAAAGTTAGGTTTAAGTGTATTTGGTAATGCAAGTGTCTTGATTATAAAGGTGTTTATGAGTAATCAGCAAAATTTAAATTGCCACAAACAGATTTTATTGTTTCAGTTTAAATTTTTGAGTGTTTAGATTCAATGAGCTAACTTGTTCAAGTTCATTTACATATACTTGAAACTGTGAATTCGTTAATCCAAAATGTATATACAGATTATTGTTTTTATGGGTTTGAGATTCCAAACTTTGCTTAAGTAATAAAACTTAATGAAATAAAGTGTGATTATGAAATAATTGATGTCCATTATTGAATTGTGATATGATTTATTTGGTGTACATCATGATAACCCTGATTCTCGTACCCATCGTGGGTGTTTGATAATTATTGATAAGAGAATATTTCATATGTATTTATATTTATATTTATATTTATATTTATATTCATACACGCTTCAACTAACTACGTGTCTAACAAATGGTTATTTAATATCAACAAAATTTAAACTAATTATAATATACCTTCCTAGTTAAAATTCTTGTAAATAACTTGTTTCTTATTTCCTTCAACTTTATACAAGGTTGATTAATATAATTACTTTATAAAATTTTAAGATTTATTGGGCCGACCTTTATTTAAGATAAAAAAATCCCTCATGAAGATATTTATATAGTAAGAAAAAAAACTCTTTAAATTGGAATAAAATAATTTATAAATAATAGAGTAGTTGTATTTTTAAATATTTGGTCAGAGTATTTTAAATAGTAATTATATTTATTTAATTTTAATTATAATCAAATAATCAAGTGGGTTAATGGTCCATAACATGCATTGAGAGATAAGAAATAATTATGTAATAAATATAATGAATTTGAAAATTCAAGAGACTCTATTTTAAAATGACTTGACTAACTAAGTCTTATTTCTATTAAGGGGTTGATTCAATAATTATAAGTTTTTCTTCGTAATTATGCAATTCACACTGATAATTTATAATTATGCGGATGTGAATTTAATTTAGAATAATAACTTATGTGAATTTAATTTAGAACAATAACTAATGTGTGTTAGATTTTATGAGTTATTGTACTCAATTTAGAGTTATACCTAAAATAAATTCATTTGAGTTATTGTCAAACTATTTAAAGTATATGAGGAGGCATGACAACGGGACGGGCGAGGCGGGTTCCCCAATCCCCGTCCCCGAATTTTTAAATCATTCTCGTCTTCGTCCCCATCTCCGTTGGGTTTCGAGTTTCCTGTCACCGCCTTGTCTCCGATCTATATTATTTTTAAAAAGATAATTACATTTATAATAAATTAATTTTACTAGGTATTTTTTATATATAAATAAATATTTATAATTTTATAATTTATAATTATTATTAATTAAATATTTTTTTAATTTATTATATTTATATTAAAATATATATGTAAAAGAAATACTTAATTATTTTTTATTTATATATATATATAGAATATTTATAATATTATTATTATTATAACATTGTATTTGAATACTTATAACATTATTATTATTATTATAATACTGTATTCAAATATTTGATTACATATATGAGTTAATTTATTTTTAAGTTATCATTTAAAAATATGAAATATATAATTTATAAGAAAATATTTAATAAGTTAATTCTTATTTAATTAGTTCAAAGTAATAAAATTTTAAATTATCAATTCCTTTTAATATTTTAAAATACAATTATTTTATTAAGATAAAAATTGATATATGATAAATAAAAATAATAAGATAAAAAATTATGACATAATAAAACCTAATAAATATAAATTATAAATAAAATAATATTAGTTATTACTAAGATTTATGTAAAATATTTAGAAAAAGATAAAGAAGAAAAAAATTAACTTTCTGTTCATCAAATTGGTTGAAAAGATAAAAAAAAAACAAATTGATGGGAGAGATTAAGAAAATGTGAAAAATAAAAAGATAAGAGAGAATAATGTAATAAATTAATTAATATAAAAGATTAAAATAGATAAAAAAAATTAAAAAGTGGGTAGAAGAAAAATAAAAATGGTGAAATATAAAAAAATGACCTTATATATAATAGAACCAGTAAATGAAAATATTTTTACAATATTAATATTTTAAAATTTAAATTTAAATATAAAATCTGGGCGAGGTCGGGGACGGGGTTGAGCTGCCCCTAACTTTTTAAAGCGAGGAAAACTCAAATCCGCCCCGATCAACTCGAGGTTTTCCCCGTCAAACTCGGGCGGGACAGATCGGTCCCCACGAGTATGAGTTTAATTGTCATCCCTAATGAGGACTATCAAAGTCATATATATATATATATATATATATATATATATATATATATAATTTTCTTCCCAAAATTTCATTGAGTATATCTCACCCCTGGTATATATCCAGGAATCACGCTTGTTGATCCATAATTAATGTCAATCAGATAATAATCGACCCCACAAACCAAAAAGGCCCATAAAGAGTAAATAAAATTAGGTTTAGGGTTGGGGAATGATCAAGATATTTTTTTACCACAACATAAAAAATATCTTTTCCCACTATGATGGTGTTAAACGTGGAAGGATGCGTGAACAGGATAAATCTCTATTATTCGGGAGGTCGTCATAATATTATTATTATTATTATTAAAGTCTAACAAGCCAAGTGAATAAAATGACATATCAAAAATAAAGTTATCGAATCAGATTTTGACAAAACATACGATCCTATATAGACGTGTTGTTCTACAACAATCGCGATCTTATAAGGTCATATTTCAACAAACACATGTGGCCCTATATGAGCATGCTGTTTTATAACGGTTGTAACCTTATAAGGTCAGATTTCTACAAAACATGTGATCCTATATGAACGTGTTGTTCTATAATAATTACGACCTTATCAGATTGGATTTCGACAAAATACACAACCCTATATGGGTGTACTGTTCTACAACGGTCTCGACCTTCTAAGATCGGATTTCGACAAAATAGGCGATCCTATATGGCGCGTGATGTGCTACGACAGTCGCAACCCTACGAGGTCGGGGGATTCTACAACAACCGCAACCTTATGAGGTTGGAAATTCTACAACGGCTGAGACCTTATGAGATAGGTCTACAACACGACCCTATGAGGTCGACTTACATATTGACCCTATGAGGTCAGACCCTAAGGTCGGTTCATATATTAACCCTATGAGGTCAGACCCTTTGAGGTAAATTTACAAATTGATCCTGTAAGATTGGTTTACAAATCCACCATGTGAGATCGATCTACAAGTTGCTTTGTGAGATAGGTTTACAAGTCAGTCCTAAGAGGTCGATCTATAGGTCAGCCTCGTGAGGTTGCTCTACAAGTCAACCTTAAGAGGTCAAAATGTTCTATAATGACCCACAAAGATATTAGGATATTCTACAACGATCTATAAGAGGTTGTTTGTATGACAACCGAATTACTTGTATTATTAAAATATTGATGTGTAAACACAACTCTTTCAAAGCCTCATCGTTTAACACTTGAGGTTGGGAGTCGGGTAAGGATCAAGACATTTTTTTACCACAATATATATATATATATATATATATATATATATATATATATATATATATATATTAATTATTCTACTTCGATGAATTTATCTTTTTGGGATAGTTACTAATATTGAAGGATTATTCTACTATCCAAATTTGGGACAAAGTTTCATTTTCTTTATACTTAGTGGGTTTCTTGTGTTATTTTTTTTTAGAGAATCAAATATTTTGTATTACGTGAAATATTTTTCTATAATATTTATATAACATAAAAAAAACATTTATATCATATTT